TTTAATGTAGCTCTTTAAAGAGAAAGTCAGGAAAGTCCTTTGAACTCAGTGACAAGTTTTGCTTCTTGAATAAAAAGGTCGTGAGAAATAGGTCAAACTCAAGGAAGTGGTGAGGTTTAACCAGGAAGATGATGTGTCCAGTGGTTATTTCTCCTTCTTTGTGTTGTCATTTTCTTCTCCTTTTTCCTCAACTGTTTGATGATGTTGCCACCTTGGCAAATGCAAAATGTTTGTATTAATTAATGAATGTGTTTTCTCCCACGCTGCAGAAAAGGAAAGATTTATTAGCAAACGAGTTATTTTTTTATCACTGGAAAGTTTTTCCGCAAAATCATCTGCTTTTGCGGAAAAACTTGCCAGCTGTCTACACTGGCCGCTTGAATTTCCACAAGAACACGGACGATCTCATGTAAGATTGTCAGTGTTCTTGTGGAAATACTGTGCTGCTCCCGTTCGGGCAAAAGCCCTCTTGCACAAATCATTTGCGCAAGAGGGCCAGTGTAGACAGCACAGTACTGTTTTGCGCAAAAAAGCCCCGATGGCTAAAATGGCAGTCAGGGCTTTTTTGCGTAAAAGCGCGTCTAGATTGGCACAGACTCTTTTCCGCAAAAAGTGCTTTTGCGGAAAAGTGTCCTGCCAATCTAGATGCTCTTTTCCAAAAATGCTTTTAACGGAAAACTTTTCCGTTAAAAGCATTTCCGGAAAATCATGCCAGTGTCGACGTAGCCTCTTTGTCTGTTGCTCTGCCTCCTTGGGGCCCTTTTATGTGCTTATTACTGCTGACATCTGTGTGTCATGTAAAGGATCTGTATATTAGGCTTATCGGACACGCTCCACCAACCTTACAGACCGAGACAAACACCTGCAGGATCTATATAAAGCATTCCTAAAACTGATATACCCACCTGGTGAAGTGAAAAAACAGATTGACAGCATCAAAAAAGTACCCAGACATGAACTACTTCAAGACAGACCCAAAAGAGAAAACAACAGAATTCCACTTGTCGTTACCTACAGTCCACAACTTAAACCCCTCCAACGCATTATCCGCAATCTACAACTTATCTTGGAAAATGACCCCTCACTCTCACAGGCCTTGGGGAAAAGGCCTATTCTCGCTTACAGATACCCCCCAACTTGAAACAAACCCTTTCTGGTAACCACGCCACACACCTACATCATAAGCCTCCAGTAACCCACCCCTGCAAGCAACCCTGGTGCCAATGCTGCGCACACATCTATACAAGTGATTTCATCACTGGATACAACCACATCAGCGGCTCATTTAACTGCACATCCACTAATGTGATCTATGCCATCCAATATTAGCAATGCCCCACTGCAATATATATTGGACAAACTGAACTGTCGCTATGGGAAAGAATGAATGGACACAAATCAGCCAGGGCAGGCAGAGACAGCAGGTCCACACCCCTTTGCCCAGGAGGAGTGGCCATTACAGATGCAGTTTGCCCCTGTGGCAGGGGCTAGGTGAAAGCTGGCAGTGGGTCACTGAGGCAAGGTGGGGACAGAGGAGCTGGGTGTTCCCTGGGAGGAGAACTGGGGGCCCCTGGCAAGGGGAGGACGCTGGAGTGTGAAGCTGGATAAACAGCACCCCCGAAAGGGGGCGCAGACACACTGGTGCGGTCCCTGCTGCAGGGCTGTGTCCTGAAGAGTGACCCAGCTCTGGGCTAGAGGGGGAAGCGAGAACACGGGGAGACACCAGCTAGAGGGAGGTGTCCAGCGAGTCGACGAGCTAATTCCCAGGGCTGCCGGCTGGAGGCACCATGGTGGTGAGTCTGCCCTGTGACAAGCATATAGACCCACGTTGCCAAAAGTGTCAACGGGAACCTGCCCAACTCTAAAGTGTTTTAAACCGGAGTCGCTGTCTCTTATGGTCACGCAGGGGGACACCCGGTGGGCAGCCCCACCCTGTAATCATCTCCCCCACCCCCATGTATAGGCACTATCAAGAGGGCAGTACAGTCCAGCAGCCTAGTCTATTCTGGCTCCAGTCCATGGGGCAGTATGGCTGTCAGAGTGGGGGGAGTCACTGGGCCCTGCACCCCCCATGTGGAGTCACCAGGACTCAGCCAGCAAGTAAACGGTTTACTTGTTACACAGACACAGCATAGCGCAGACTTGTTACAGGAACCAGGAGCAGCCAGTACAACCTCTCTTGGGTTGGGGTTGGGGCGGGAATGGCTGAGCCCCACATCTGGGCCCCTTGCCCGGACTCCCAGGCCAGCTAGGCTCCCTTCTTCCTGAGCCATCCAGACAAGCACCCTCCCCCACCCTGCAATTGGTCACCACCTC